CAATAATTTCTCCTTCTTTTTCAACCACATATTTCACATGAAATTAATAAATGTTCTTATCTTCAAAATGTGCACAAAACGGGGGCTTAATCTGATTAATTTTAAAAATATATATACAAATTAGCAATGAATAAGTATGTAGGACGTTTCACGAAATGTGTGGATAAAAAGTAGTTTAACAAATTGTAAACAGGTGCCATACAAGAGCTTATGATTAACTTTCTCTTCTTCTTTTTTATCAAAGATTGTGTAAAATTAGTGCTACATAAAATTCATTAGACAATAAGGTCACAAAGACGAGTATTTGGCCTTATTAATGTATCCTCAATAATGTAATTATCCACATGTTCATTAAGGTATCCATTTTTTAAGTGTTCGGTGAGTGAGTGGGTGGGTGGGTGGGTGGGTGTGTATTAAATAGAAAGGCCTCTTGGCTTTGCCCAACTTTGACTAACCATTCCAAGTTGAGACACGCACCAGTGATAGGTATTGGGACGGTTTTATCTCAAGAAGGCGTGCCATTGGAGTTCTTTAGTGAGAGCATTTTCATTGGTGCTCTAAATTAGATTCGAATTGTGATTTAAATTTTTAAAGTGATCGAAAATCTCTTCATAGAGAGATGCAACGGAAATGCAAATTGTACTTTTCAACAGAAAATATAAAAAAAGATGTAAATCAGATCTACAAGAAGCAAAAAGTTATCAATCTACTTGCACCTAATTTCTTTAGATCTTTTTATTGAAATAGAATTTGAATTTAGAACCATCAGAATGTAAATGCGGATGTAAAAATTATTATGGAGATGTCAATTTACACCGAATTTTACACTATCATTGGAGATGAAAGTTCTAGCACAAGAAAGTCGAAGTATATACTTTATTTGATACAAACTAGAAACCGAATCACTCAAAAGTAAAAGTGGAGGAATTATAAAGCAAGAGTTGTATGTAGTTGTCACAACCCTAGAACATTTGGAGCATTACCTCATTCGATAAGAGTTTATTATCTACTTATAACACCAAACACTATAATTCATAGTTATAAAACCCCGCCCGGCCCGAACGGTCAGCCCGGACCCTTGACCGGGTCTAGTAGATTAATTTTATCAAAATGCATTTGATTCGATCAAAATCAGGTTTTGACCGAGTTAACCGAGGATTTATCCGGCCCGGTTGACCGGTTTGATTGGGTTTTAAAATTCTCTTACAAAATTTTAGGGTTCAAGAGAATTGAACATTGGACTTCTAAGGAAAATAATGGGTTCCTCACCACTAGACATAGAGTATTTTAGTATTACTTATTTGCAAATAACTTATATCTATTTA